TGAAATTAATTGTGTACTATGGCCATACCGGGTAATAACATGAACCTGCTACCGCTTTAATGAATTGGATCCAATAGGTTGAATGGAGAGTCTGTTTATTTACCTTTTATCGGTAGGTCAATAATATTCGACAGGTGCTCTTTATAATGTTGGTGTATAGGATGACAGAGGATTGACAGCTGTTTCAAAATTGTATTGATAATTCTAAGAAGAAATTCCCAATAAATCAACTAAAAGAAAGGTGCACCTTAAGAAATATATCATCGCGTAGCGTGAATTTCAAACTTAAAACGGACAAATACTTGCATACTCTGACATATGTTGCAGAAATATGTTCTTTTAAATCCGATCATCCATGTTACCTATTATAATATGTTTTCACTTAAGGCGCTAACTGAAGGCATGCGACTCAGTTTAGCGCGATTCGGGATACATCCATTTTGCAATTGTTCTTTGTTCCTTGCGTGCCATGAATGAAACATAAGTATAATTTTCTAGATAATGATATGATGATGATAATGATGGTGATGATGATGATGATGATGATGATGATGATGATGATGATGATTATTATTATTATTATTATTATTATTATTATTATTATTATTATTATTATTATTATTATTATTATTATTATTATTATTATTTCCCGTCAAAATGATACAGTTGATTGTGTGCTCAAAAATGCCGCTAAAAACTTATGAACAACAGCATATTTTTGAAAAATGCATTTAATGTTCCTATAAACGGATATATGAGATGAGCAGTGTTCTGTATTGCCGCAGCAAATAATAAATGTAGCAAAGAAGGATGGAGAAAATATTAATAAATTTATCAAACAAGGAATGCGAAAAAAGAAAAATGTTTTATTGTGTAGCAAATTCTATGCATCCAAACACGTGTCCGAGAGGATATGCCTAAACTGTGCTTGCATACAATGAGCAGGGGTGGGAGGTTGATAATGGATACTCAAAGGGTATGTATGTATGTATGTATGTATGTATGTATGTATGTATGTATGTATGTATGTATGTATGTATGTATGTATGTATGTATGTATGTATGTATGTATGTATGTATGTATGTATGTATGTATGTATGTATGTATGTATGTATGTATGTATGCATGCAGGCAGGCAGGTAGGTAGATAGGCAGGCAGGCAGGCAGGCAGGTAGGTAGGTATGTAGGTATGTATGTACGTAAGTATTTAGGTATGTACGTATGTATATAGGTAGGTAGGTATGTAGGTAGGTAGGTAGGTAGGTAGGCAGGCTGGTAGGTTGGTATGTATGTAGGTAACAAAACAAATATCGATCTGACAACAAATATAGGAATATAGGAGACAATAGTGCTGAACTGCATAATGCAAACGGAGTATTCTGGCTTGGGAACCAATAATTTCTCTGAACATAAACCACCTTTAAATCATCTTTAGCTAAGGTAAATATTTTCATTTAGTGATGTTGATACTTACTTTACAAACGTACTTGCCACGAACCGACGGCATTGTTCCGTAAACGATAATTATCTCTTAGGTTATACTTACTGAAATAATTCAAAGTCAGGTCTCTTTCCTACCTTTCGTTTAGGTTAATTACATGACACCTATTGTTAACATGCCTTTTTTGCCTAAAGAAAATATACTTTTTAAATTTATTTACTAACAGTGCTAAATTTGTTGGGAAATACACCAGCTGGACTTAGTATTATATTTGTAGTACACAACTGTGGTTTTCTTGTATTTTACTAAAAGATTTTGGGTTTATCTTTCAAATCATAATGTGCTAAATAGGGCCAATTTCCATGTAGATTGTTTCGCGTTTTCATTTTTCTCTTTCTGTGAAATATACAAAAATAACAAAATAGAATTGCTTTTGGCATTCAGTGTTTGTCTAGCATTCTTTTGGTAAGACCAGCACATGTAAATGGAAAAATGGCGTCATGAATGAAAATACCTTTTTAACAGAATGGTGAGGATGTAGATATAAACATGAAGTAGGTGTGTCCGTTCGTTGTTTGATATGGCGGGATAATGTTGACATGATTCTGTAAACATTTCTAAAGTATCTTGAAATAACATTTCTTATAAACACAGACCTTTAAGTTTTCTGAAAGTCAGAATACATATAAATGTACGTCTTAAAGTTGTCTGAATCTTAGGATATTTATAAACATGTCTTTAAGTCATCTGAATCTTAGGATATTTATAAATATGTCTTTAAGTCATCTGAATCTTAGGATATTTATAAATATGTCTTTAAGTCATCTGAATCTCAGGATATTTATAAACATGTCTTTAAGTCATCTGAATCTTAGGATATTTATAAATATGTCTTTAAGTCATCTGAATCTTAGGATATTTATAAATATGTCTTTAAGTCATCTGAATCTCAGGATATTTATAAACATGTCTTTAAGTCATCTGAATCTCAGATATTTATAAATATGTCTTTAAGTCATCTGAATCTCAGATATTTATAAACATATATCTTTAAGTCGTCTGAAGGTCAGGATACATAAAATATTTAGAATGTATGATGTAATGACATTCTTTATAAACATATGCCTCTGAGTGTTCTGAAAGTCAGGATACTTATAAACAAACGTCTTTAAGTCGTCTAAATATCTGGATACTTGCAAAATATATATTTAAGTCGTTTGAAAGTCAGGATACTTATAAACATACGTCTTTAAGTCGTCTGAATCTCTGGATACTTGCAAAAATATATATTTAAGTCGTTTGAAAGTCAGGATACTTATAAACATACGTCTTTAAGTCGTCTGAATCTCTGGATATTTGTAAAAATATATATTTAAGTCGTCTGAAAGTCAAGATACATGCAAACATGTCTTTAAGTGTTCTAAAAGTCAAGATACTTATAAATATCAGTCTTTAAGTCGTCTGATAGTCAGGATACATACAAGCATATGCCATTAAGTCGTACGAAAGTCATGACACTTATAAATAATGTGTCTTTTAGTCGTATGAGAGTCAGGAAAGTTATAAATATACGTCTTTAAGTTGCATGAAAGTCATCATATCAATAAATGTATGTATTTAAGTCGTCGAAAATCAGGATACTTATAAATGTCCGGTTTTGGTCGTCTGAAAGTCAGGATACCTATGACATATGCCTTTAAGTCATTAAAAAGTCAGGACAATTATAAACATCGGTCTTTAAGTCAACTGAAAGTCGGGATACTTACAACATTTCGAATGTTTGAACTACATTCCTTATAAACATGCATCTAAATCATCTGAAAATGAGGATGCTGTCAACATTCTTGAAATGTGCATGAAACGTTGGACATTTAAGATGTTCATTTATTAATGCACCATAAAATTTGGTAGAGCAACTGAACATGTGTAAAACAAAAGAGTTTTGTTTTTACCGAATGTTATTGAAAGTAATGATGACTTTGCTGAGTCAATGATCTGAAAATAATTCGTAGATTTGTGGAGCTTGCTGACATCTGTCTATTAATTAAATTTTATATCACGCTCACAAACTACCTGTGTCCGATGCACCAAATGAATTGCTATCCGCTACCATGCAAAGTCTGTCAAAGAATATCATTTTCAAGGTATCATTTTAAAGGATGAGTGGTGTATAACATTGCTTTACACTTGTACACAAAATCATCTTGAAACAGAATCAGCGACATGCTTTTCTTGAGATAAAAGATCGAATAAAAGGTTAGTTTCGCATCGGATTGCGTGTTCTGAGTTCACACCTAGCATTTAACGCTGTTTGATATTCTACTCCAGCAAAGAATCTGTTTGAGTTTCATCGCCTTAAATAACGAGTAATAGCAAGAAATTAGACAGATAAACAAAAAAATCTGCTAGAAAAATAAACAGCACGTAATTTAGGACTATGGCCCTTTATTATCGTAATTATCGATCTAGCAGTATTCGTATCGTAAGTTTGTGTTAGATTATTACCGATATACCGGTATTTTTCTTTCGTTGGTACATACCACAATCCTTTTCTGATTGAACTGGTATTTTAGTACTTTCCGTCCGTAGGGAATGTATGGAAATTCCTGAATAAACTTCGTATGAATGTAATCATATATTAAGTATCCTTTCATCTTCCATGGAAAATAATTCCACATATATTTTTTGAAGTTTTTAAAAGAAATTTGTATTTCTCACGAATTAATTTCGACTATTCCCATTACAAATGTGTGAACCTTGAATCACATGTACAACACGTGTCAGGTGTACCGTCATTGTCACAAAACGGGATGTTGTGATAGATATTTGGGCCAAATCCAATTCTTGGAAATAAAATGTCAGATTAAAGAAAGGAGGAAAAAGTGTTAATTTAATTACTTATTCGTTAGCGGATGCTAGTGATTTATGTAAATATATTACTTCGTAAGACCGAGAATCATCATACGATTTTCAGGAAAGCATTAACTTTCCTGTTTTATTTTTATCAAATTTTTCTAGTCCACTAAATATTTTCTTGTTTGTTGAGTCAGTGTACCACAGGCGCTCTCTGATTAATGCTTTAACTGGGTATTGAAAATTACCCAAAGTTTCCCTTTTTTTATTTGATCAGTGATGTAACAAATAAAACGTAATCTTCAGTGCCAATACATACTATTTACATCAGCGAATTGTTTCATGTCAATATCTCTCGCAGAGTGTCAACTATAATGTCAGCTTAATAACTGTTTCATGTCAATATCTCTCGCAAGGTGTCAACTATAGTGTAAACGTAATAACTGTTTCATGTCAATATCTCTCGCAGGGTATCAACTATAGTGTAAGCTTAATAACTGTTTCATATCAATATCTCTCGCAGGGTGTCAACTATAGTGTAAGATTAATAACTGTTTCATGTCAATATCTCCCGCAGGGTATCAACTATAGTGTAAGTTTAATAACTGTTTCGTGTCAATATCTCTCGCAGGGTGTCAACTATAGTGCAAGCTTAATCACTCCACTTTAATTGCTGTTCTTAGAGGTAAACTTATACAACAGTTAGACCGCTCCGGTGGACTAGTGGTGAGAGCATCCACCTTAGATGCGGGAGGTCGTGGGTTCTATCCCCGGCCGAGTCATACCAAAGACTTACAAAAATACCACTAACACTTGCCTCGCTTGGCGCTCAGCATTAAGAGGTTAGTGTTAGGACTGGTCGGCCTGGTGTAAGGATAATGTGACTGGGTGAGATCTTGTGCTACATGTCAGCGGCATGATGCCCCCAGTGCTAGACGTCATTATAAACTGCCACATTACAGACATCGCAGAGATATGACTGGAAAAATCGTTAAAGCTACGTTAAAAAATCAAAATCCTTTACAGCAATTAAGATATTAATGTGTACATAGCACATGTGTTTACTACAAGGTACTGATCATTTCATTTTCTAGTGTGTGGTGTGGAGATGCTACAAGCGGACATATTTTCTTTTCTTTCGCCTCAAGATAATTAATTTTATTTTTGTAAATAATGTAATGGATTTAATGTGGCGTTATATTGCTATAATTCAGAGCTAGAAATTTCAGCTATTTGAAATACGGAAATATTAAACGAAATCCCAGGCCCCTGTCCCAAGATATGAAAGTGTTGGTCACTAATGTAATAGTATACCGCAGAAAGAATCGCAGCATGTTTAGGATACTGCGGTATATCGCGATATGTATAGAAGGTATGCAAAGTTATATCATTTTCTTTTTTTATTGTACCCAGCTCTAATATTTTTATTTCTAAAGTAGATGTCATTAATTTTTAAGTGCCAATGAAAAACGTTGTGGCACTCTAAAAGAAACATTTTGTCTTGCATAATGTTGCAAAATCTAAAAGAAGCATTTATCTTACCCAGTTTATCGTAAACTCTACAAGAGCCATGCTATGGTTTTGTTCTGTAAAATTTGGCACATGTATAAATCGATTCGTTTTGCTCGCATGGTCGAGCGCTCCAAGATGACATGTGCACGAATGAAAAGATGAAGTATTGATGGATGGATGATTGCTGGATATTAATTGAAACCTGATAGAAAGTACAGAACATAGTGTAACCATGTGATATTTAAGTTCTAAACCCATAAGTATAAATTATTACCAACGAATATAGATCTCTTTTCAAGTAATAAATGAAAACAAACTGTAATTTGCATATATGCCTTGAGTTTCTACAAAGCGAATTTAATGTATACCCTTTTATTTTTATTCAGATCCACTGAGCAATTTTATGGTTGTGTTGGATTAGCATTAAGTGTTCGCGTCAATAGTCGTGTCTGCAGGAGTCAACAAGCTAAATATAAACGTGACGTCACTAGGTCATGTGATCATCTTTTAAGTAGCCGGTTCGAAAAAAAAAATACAAGACGAAGTTAATGGAATAATATATTTTTTGAAAGACTACGGATTTGTAGAAGCAGTTAACTACAATGATAAAACTTAGATTGATGATTTTAAGCTGTGATAGGTGACGTCACATCCTGCATGGAACGATGAATCAACCATACATTTAACAATAAAAATCTTACATAACTGATACATCTTGAAGTTCTACGCGATTGGGTTCTAATAACATTCATGAAAAGACAATTGTTTTAATAGGTACAAACAGAACCAATTGTTCATACATACTTTAACACCTAGGCCCTATATGACTATTAATATTTCTTTCTTTCTCAGGGTGAACTTTCTTCCCAATAAGTACTGTATTCAAAAAAGAGATGACATTCTTTTACAAAAAGTACCAATCCGATCTGATTGGGCATCGTTCTCGATGGTTGTGTTGAATCGTCTAATAATATGATGATATAGCGAAAGCTACCGAGTGTCGTAGAGAGCGATGACGGACCTTGGGGTAAGAAACACCCTATCCTCTCCTAGTTCTTGTTCAAACAAAATTTCTCTTTTAAAAATTTAAAAGTTTTGTTCAGATATATTCCCAGTCCCCCCCTACCGTCGTACCTGAAGCTACCATGAAATAAACCCGAAAGAGAAGCTGTATGTTACGCAGACTGGCATGATTTACCGACGGCCTAAAAGTTCATCTTATTCAGAATTCCAAATATTAATGCCTTTTTTATTGTCTACATTAAGGAAGAATACAGATGCTTCTTGACAATATTTTTAAAATCGTGCATACCGCCACAGTGCAATCCTTGTGAACCATGAAATGGAGGCAATAAGAACAAAAATATTCTATGGAATTTACGACGCCTACAAAATCAATGAAATTTAATTTTAGTTTTTGCTACCAATGGGCATATAACACAATGCGCATGTAGGTTGTTCATAAAAATTGATATCGAAAGCAAAAGCAAAATCGAAAATATGGAGGATTTTTTTTAGATATACAGAATTGGAAGTATTCTAATTGATGTGTTTATCAACTATCACTGCAATATTCTTCATCTTAAATTATTAACGCGTGTTCAGGATTACAACGTTGCAGAATCAATTATTTATCAGCGACTAACTATTATATATATATATATATATATATATATATATATATATATATATATATATATATATATATATATATATATATATATATAGATATATATACACACACACACACACACACACACACACACACACACACGTTAGAGTCTTGCAGGATAAAACGCGTAAAGTTGATCGAATTGAATTGAAGCCGTTTTCAAACATTTGGCAAACGTATACACATATGGATGTTTTAAGGATAGCAAATACTAAGTATATTCAAACATTTGTTGAATTTATCGCAGTTCGGCACGTCTTTTCGTCTCATTGTAAGGCGGCCGGGTGGAATTGGTTTAGAAATGATCAGTGATGATTTTACAACAAGACTTGACTGATGGCGTAGAATCTGACTGCATTTTCGGTTGACATCTGCTTTATAATCGAGTATAATTATTTGTATTTGCCTTTTAGTACCAAAATCCCTTATAGTTAAATTGTTTAAAATCAGTCCGCATTAGATTGTATTTTAGCAGTAATTCCCCTTATATTCGCTTTTAAATACGCGAAGATTGTTTTTTTTTTAAAGAATACACTATTCCAAAATCATTTTGTAGGGTTTTTCCTTTTCTAAATTAAATTGTCACTTAAATTCATAACATCTTCCATAGACGTATTGAATAATTTCGTTACGATGCAATCAATATGGTAGTTTGCTTTGTTCATGACATCACTCTATTATAAAGCAGTCTTATTGCGTCACTTCATAGTGTTGGGGATTTCGGTATATCGAGATGGCAAATTTTGTTGTTCGATATTTTAGGGATTCGCATTAACAAAGTTCTTAATATAAAGACAACAATACAGTAATATCGGTGAAAAGAAACAAAGTTCATTGGCACAGAGCGGGTTCTTGATAGCAAGCCTGGAAGCAAGATGGCCTCTGTGGATTTTATAAATAATTGAATAATTTTCCCAGCTGGAATTTCGCTTCTATTATTGCTTTATCATAACTTGCAAAAGAAGAAGACCTTTAATTGTCTCAGATGAAAGGGAAGGAGACACTGATAGCTGGTGAATGATTATTCAATTATGCTGGATACTCGTAGACAGAGGGACGATATTAAAGATTTCGCCCTAAGGTGGCTCTGTTTCATTCTATATAAACAGGCTGTGTCACCAGTATCATCAGTATTAGTTAAAAATTCGAGTTAAATGCGAAATAATTGCAGATCACCGATTAGCAGAAGCGTACTCTGTTTCACATGTCGGCAGATTTTTCATGACGGTAAATATTTATTAAACATAACTCGAACGTGAAGTTTATGTTTTAGTTCCTGGTATAATGTTGTAAAGAATCTAGCAATTTCAACCAAAATGTTATGCCATTTCGACTTTCATTTCTAACAAATGGAAATATTGTATACTAACCCCCACCCCACCCACCACCTACTGGATCAAGATGAAACTGAATATCACAAAAAATAGGAGATGTTGTTACATTTATTATTTCTAACATAATCGCTTTAATACAGGTACATATCAACAGAGTTATAGAGAAAATTGTATCTCGAATACTTTTCTTTACGATAACACACACTTTTCACTACGATAACAATGAATAAAAGAAACTATATACAAACTCCTTCCTTGTACTTGTTTTATTCGATCGATCGATCGATCGATACATCGAGAGAGATCGAGATCGAAAGATCGAAGAGAGAGAGAGAGAGAGAGAGAGAGAGAGAGAGAGAGAGAGAGAGAGAGAGAGAGAGAGAGAGAGAGAGAGAGAGAGAGAGAGAGAGGGGAGGGAGGGAGGGAGGGAGAAAAGGGTGGAGAGGGGAAAACTTGAAATTTGTGGATAAGAAATGTTACCTTCCGAATCTTGAATCAGATCCGTACCAGTGTTCTGCCCGGGATGTTGATGTTTTGTATTATTCTTTTCTAGAGACGTGTCTGCAACTGACACCTGTGAAAGAAGTCATGATCATTTAATTTTCTATTTTAACAACCTAGTGGAAAATTATCAGTTAGACGAGTTAAATAAATCAAGTTTCTTTCCTTACTGTAATTTGTATAATTTACAAGTTTTCACTTTAAAACGTTCTCGAGGTTTCATAACAATTAGAGTTGGACATTGACTGAACATTAGATTAATCAGATCTATTTATTCCTGGATTCATGAAATGTATAAGAATATTCCATCCATGTGACTAACATTGGGAAAAATTAATCTTAATCTCTAATCATATTTTTTCTTATCACAATGCTCTTTTTAGAGATGAAAATTAGATGAAAAAGATAATCATCATCATTTTTTCTATCTTTATAGACAATGTCGATATGATTTGATCAAACGGTCCCTTGAATGTTGTAATAATATGCTAGGAATAAATTGTCCATCATGCAACACGGTGTAATCAGAGGTTTCAATCCCATTTCACCCTAAGAATAAAATCCCAGGTCAGACGTTAAATTCAAAATAATGAATGTTTGTGAAAACCAGAATCAGTTATCACATCTCGGCATATGAACAGATTTTTAAAATAGCATGAAATTCATAATATGATTACGTGGATTGAACATGAAATGCAGGTAAAATTTTCGCATTTCCTGTGCCCATAAACCCCGATAGAGTTCGTACACATTTTCGACCTGT